TGTAAAAGCGTATACATCACCCCAAGGATGAATTACTGACTCGGTGGAGTCGAGAAACTGGTACTACTAGCTTGTGTCTGTTCCAAAAATAAATGATATACATTCTGTAAATACTAATTTACAGAATAAATATCACTTATTTTTGCAAAACTACTTTATTAATAAACTACATTTTCATAAATGTATTGAGAGGCCAGGGTTAATATATTAAATTCCTTAATTTTTTGTCTCAGTGACTCTTTTGGCTTTAAATTTATATTACTTTAATAGCCCTCTTCTGTAAAACAAATATAATTTCAGTGTCAGTCGCGTGTCCCCATAGCAAAATACCATACGACATAATGCTATGGAAATAACTAATGTAAACTATTCTGTTTCAACACTGTTTCACACACAACACTTTCACACACAACAGTTCTAATCTTTTTTACAGCACATTTGCGTCTAGTGTGATTCCAAGAAAAATGGTGGTATCAACAAGATTCAGTTCCTCCCCATTTAAAAATAGTTTTTTTTAAATGGGGAGGAGGAGAAAATAGTTTTTGTAAAAATCCGATCGGTTCAGCTCAAAATTATCTACGAAGATTACATAAGAATATAAGCATTTTGATTTTAATTAACAACACAAAAAGAAATATGAAAAAGACAATATTATGAAGGTAGATGAAAAATACTGATTATCCGTTATGAAACCGTAACTGTTTAATTCTACGAGTTGTTATCGTACCTACTTATTGAAATGGCAAAGGCTTATTGTGCTCGAACGGCAATTTCGAATTTTTACGACTTATTCGCTGTAACTTGCGGCATTATTGAATGACTACGTCGTTTAGAACGTCTCTTACGTCATTATTATACGCCAAGTCATGTTTAATACTTGACAAAAATATTATAGGTTGAACGTCATGAATACCGTACCCTATTTGTTAATTTAATATAACTGATAAAGATGAATTGACCGATAAGAATATCACCTAACCCGTCTTATCCCTTGGGTGTACAGAAGGAAAGAAGCCAGAAGATTGACAGCAGCAGCAGCGTCTTCCTTATAACTAAAAAAACTGCTTGCAAATCCGTGGCAATTATAGCAATTATCCTCTTTTGATTCAATCCATGGGGGGGGGGGGGCAGTATTTAGTAGTGGATTATTTTATTGGCTGGAACGTCATATATAAGCTTTTTACGGAAATGAAGTTAGGAGCCAACTTTTTTCGGGGTGGGATCAATGGGGTACAGAGCACAGCCTTGTCAGGAAAGCTTACTTTAACTGAACCTTGTTAAAAACTGCTAAAAAACGAACGCGATTTTTTTTTCTCACGTGGATGTTAAATGTACCAAGTTTTCTGGAATTTTGATTCACTTCACAAGTAGCGTATTATTTAGTTTATTTAGTTAATAATGCTAATTAAAGTTGAGGTAAATATAAGAAAATGTCACGCTATCATTCTGAAATTTCTTTTCTAGACAGTCACAGTGTTACAACAAAAAGTCCCCCGGCACTATTACTGTGTTTAAAAAACTTATATGGCCGGCTCATTTACAGAGCTTACTTATCCGTTGGGCTATGTCGGTTCCTCTGTTTCTGGTGCGGATATCCTCATTTCTAAGTCTATCAAACAGAGAAACCCCGAGCATAGCCCTCTCCGTAGCTCGCCGAGCGACCTTGAGCTTCCCCATACAGCAAGTAAAGGAACCGCGTCTCAGATCCCAATTTCTTCACTAAAATTTTCAACCCTTCTTGGGGGGTTGATTTTTTTTATTGATTTTTGGATGGCTTAAACTTAGATAATGTTATAAATTTCGCCGGCTTGTACAAAATTTCTATTTAAATGCTCTGGATAAAATATTTGCAGAGTTGAAATAGCTTTGTGAAAAAAAAAACATAAGTACTAATATGGTTTTTTTTTACAAAACAGACAACGAACTTTGTGACAAGCGAATTAACAGTTCGACTGATGGTAAGTGGATCTGCAGTCCATGTACACCTGCAGTCGGGTTCAAACAAATGCTACAGTTGCGATGTCACCTCTGAGTACTAAGATGGAATGCCTTTACAGTCTGTAATCATACTAGTTCTTTATGCCCTTTACACCGGAAAACAGCAGTGCAAACACTCACACTTAGCGGCGAAAATACGTAAACGGGAGCTGGGTGGTCTCGGAAGGACTCCGAGTCAGAAAAATAATTCTATTACCTAGACCTAAAGTCCTTCTTTTTCATAAGGCCGTAAAAGTTGTGAAAGGAAACGGGGAGATCTCCTAGCAAGTTTTCCAGCCTGTGGATAGGCCAATGTCGATGTTGCCAGTACTGAAATTATGTAATTAATTTATATTATTTATTATTTATTTATTTTAAATATTTATTTCAAACCCTATAAATAAATACTAAATGTCAATAGGCATTTTATTTTATCTTTTAATTTGACGACTATTTATTTGCTTCAGCACGAAGCAAATAAATAATCGTCAAGTCGTCGTTTAGAATTTATAAATAGATATCTGACCCAATAGAAAAGTATCCCTGTTTATAAAAAAAAAACGCAAATACCTATTTAAATTTAATGCTTCAACTTGTTCTGAAATATTAATCAATAGTAGAAAGTTATTTTTTTTAATTTATGGCAATTTAATTATAAAACTGCCTTCATTTCCTAAAAATTCCGTCCATAATATATCCCTGCACATTTATTAAAAGTGTAAAATAAAGAAATTTGTATATTCATAAGTATTTTACTGATTGAAGAATCTTAACACGATGTTAAAACAAGTTTTTGCAAAATAAACAAGTAAGTATATGCGACGTAATAAATTATTCAATACCAGTCCATTGAAGTAATAAATAAATATTACTTCAATGTACAAGTCATCATAATTGAAACCTGTTGTTATAAAACTTAAGCGAAATAATTTAGCTAATCGTAAGTTACGCTTTTACATTATGGAATGAGTCTATAGACAAATTAAACCCATCATCATCATCATCATCACTAAACCTTCACAATACCACTTCACATCACTGCTGAACATAGGCCACCCTCACAGAATGCCACAAAACATGGTACTGAGCCGCCTTCATCCTTAGATTTTCATATACACTGATTGATTACCGGTACTAAGGTGGTGCCCACATCTTTTTTCTTCCATCGGTTGTCAGCCAGCCCATTGCCACATCAGCTTACTGATATGTTGGCCTACGTCAATTACTCTGGTTCTTCTACGGATACCCTCATTTCGAATACTATCAAAAATAAAAACTCTGAACATAACCCTCTCTATAGGTCGTTGTGCGAGCTTAAGCCTCCTCATAAATTAATACAATGTAAACAAGCGTAAATTCTTCGACTATATTCAATAATTGGACGTGACGAACGGAAAATACCGGATGTGTAAGCTATTACGAATACACATTAAACGCCAACATTATTTCGAGATCAGTTCAAGGCCGGATTAATAGCGATTATTTTTGTCTTAAATGCATAAATATTTTTTTAACTAGTAACACTTAAATAAAATAAAACGTTTCTTTAATAAGCAATTTTGATCGTTATTTTCTGCGATTAACCTACTTTGGAATATAGGTGTAACAGGAGTACAGTATTAGCCCTTTACTTGGCAGATATATTTTTTCTTATTTTGTTTTTCTCGCAATCATGGTGTTTAATTAGGTGAATAAAAGGTGAATAAAATATAAAAAAAATATTTGCTTTTAGATATTTTTTTATTAAACGTATCCTGCAGTGCACACTACCAGGTAAGCAACCATTTACATTATAAAATGTAAGTGTCCTGACATACAGTGCCAAGTTTACATGGTAACAAAAATAGATACTAATTGTAATTAATCAACAATTGTTTATCATTTTTATTATCAAATTAACAGTTTTATAATTATGAGATCACATTATATTATTTTATTATTACTATTAATAAAATAATATAACGTGATTTGGGCTATGAAATGGCTATTTGGTATGATATGCATGAAAACAGTTGCGCTCTTCTACCAAACAAAGTCTTATTTTACATTTTTGACAGTAAATTTGGGTTTGGCCTTTTGTGCAATTTTTGCACCTGCCTTTATTAGTTTCAAAAACTGGCATATGACCAACTTGGTCATATCGTACAGCGTCAATGGGTCTCTGCAGCAGATTTTTTTATTAGGGGTACATTATTGTTGAGTTTATTGGCAGAAACACCTTTGTCAAACAAAAGTAGGCTTGGCTAAATTTCATATCGGAATTCTTTCAATGGCATTAATTTTGAATTATTTGATGCACCTCGCCGGTACATCAGCCAAGCGTTATTAACGCATATATCGCACACCTAGATCTAAACAGCGATTAACTCAAAAAATCATTTTTTTCAGAAAAGGTGATAAACTGATTACAGTGTCCCTGTGCCCCGCAGGAGTTTTCTGAATTGATCAAATCTTTTTAAATGCAAATAGAGGAAAGATGTCATAATGAATCATGTATTTTAATCATAATTGAGTCTGAAAATTGGAGTTTTGTAGTTATTTCCGTATTGCTTAACAAATGTATGTATATATTTTTTTTATTTGGAGTTGAACCTGTGTTGGTGAATTAAGTTCCTAGTTGGCTCCCTTTTTGAAGAGTCAATATTAATTTAAATATAGCAGCATTTAGAATTAATTCAATAAAAATCCAACTGATAGAGGGGTCAGTACCAGCCACTACCAGCAGTAGGGGTATATTGGTTGATGACTTAGCAAGAAAACACTAAATTATGTAATCAAATCAAATATTTTTTATTAATAATATACCTATACCTAATATTTTCTATAAAAAATACAGCCTTTTATGACCCTTAATTACCTAGTAGGTTCAAATAAAATTATCATAATAAAATAGTAACACAACATAAACATAATGAGGAACCTTCCCTTCCATGAAATACATTTTAAATACTCATCTAAAATCACATTTGACACATTCTTAGTAGGTAGTTAAGAATGCAAACACTTCAATAAGAATAAAGCAGTCAATTATCAGTATCACCCAATACATATTTATAATAAACATCATAATAGGATTTCGGAATGACGTTCTTATCAATCAATTCTTTTATGTCTTTTTTTTTTGCATCAGACAATGCAATTTTTTCAGTGTATGCATGTGTTAAAACAATTGAAAATAACGATTGATCTATAGCTATGGCCGATCCGGATCCTCTTAGGCGAAGAATCCTCTTTCGCACACAAACTTTCTTAAACGTTTCCTCTGTAAATGATATTTTATAGAAAAACGCTTCAGGGTGATCTTTTTCAACCCTAAGAACCTTTAAGTCATGCCACTTAACTTGATTTCTCTCTTCGTCTGTATTGAAATTTGTGCCCCACGTTTCTTGCAAAGCTTTAACATCATAAAACTTGTCATGCGTCATTTCTACGACTGTGTAAGGTTTTCCAGTCTTTTTTGCTGTACCAATCAACGTTTTATATTGCTCTGGTATATAGATTGGACCCGACTGCACGTATCTTTTAATTTGTTTCTCAATGACACTATGGACGTTGTCACCTTCATTTTGTGAGTGTCCACGTATGAAAAACTTGTGAGTAATAGACTTGACTCTTAACTTGTTGACAGCGTAGGCATAGGCAGACAACAGAAACTTATTTTTTTTGTTGACCGCCACAATTGTCCGAGTAGAAAATTATTTCAATTTCTTTATTAGGATTTTGGTCTACCTGAGCTTTAACGTAGTCGAGTATGCAGCTGCCAATTTCAATAGGTCCTCTCTTTCCTTCGGTTTCATCCCAAAAGTAGCACATAACTTCTTTTGCCCTTAAATCGCTGATGGTAAAATTGAAACAGTTGATCCTGGATTTATAAAAAAATAGTGATATTTGTCCCTTTGGAATCTGCAAAACTGCCTGCAAGTCGTAAACTGCTACGATAGTACCATCGGCCCTACTTTTATCATTATCTTTCTCAGTTCTTGCCAAAACTTTTTCATTCTGATGCTATTCATACTCTTGGCTTAAGTTGCGTTTTTCTTCTGAGTCTGAATTCTTATACCTTTCGCACAGATCGCATTGATCTTTTTTTGGTACGAAAAAAAGAAATGTTGAATTCAGTGTTGAATATCCTGTTGAATGTGGAAGACGTGGCAATAGCTAAACCATCCTTTTCACGAAATTGTTTGTAATCTCTGTAGATATCCGCCAATGATTTCTCACTTGAAATATACTGTCTTTTCGTTTGAGACTCAATCTTTGGAATAGAATTTATAAAATCAATAACGCTCTGTTTGATTTGTGGATCAATAGTTGGTTGATGGCCGTGTTTTCCTCTCAAATCTCCTTGTATGACTCCTGATTCAGAGACCTTGGAAAGTGCCGTTTGTATAGCTTTATAACTCATCCCGAGAGTCGATTTGAAAAACGGTTTGCAAACTCTAATTTTGGATCCAGCAACCTCAAAATAAAACGCAGTGTTAAGAGCTCTAAAATCTTGTGTGCTTGAGTATCGATATTTAGGTTTTATTTTTTGTGAGTGTCGCACTATAAATTCTCTCTGCCTTTCAAGATTGCTGAGTCCCCAAAATGCATCAAAAAGCTGTTGCCTTGATATTTCATTGATCTTATCTTTACATTTTAGCCGACATTTTTCTCCACAGTGGAGGCCGACTTTTCTCTCTGGCACTTGTAATTTTGATTTTAACATAGACTGGTAGGCTTTACCAGAATTTCTCAGCACTTTCGCAACTTTCGATTTCCACATCGTTGGTTTTCGTACCCTCTTTTTACCCTTTTTTCTTTTATAACGAGCTCTTATTTTCGCAATTAAATTAATTTCCAATTAATTTCCGCTACCGTAGTATTTTGAGGGTCAAGCTGTAAATGCGCACTATCATTTTCCGTATCTGACGAGCTATTAGAACGTGATGAGCTCTTAGAGCTACTACTGCTGGTGCTGGATGAAGACAGCAATGAACCAATGAACAATGAAAAAAAAATGAACAATGAAAAGGTACGATCTGAGATAGTGTCTTACTTTTATTAATCAATTGGTAATTGGGATCCTCATCTGAGTCATCAAAATCACTTTGGTCACTTTGGATTGGTGAAATATAATAATTTGGTGTACTAGCCTGCTGTTGTTTATATGTGCTCGGAATAGATTTACCATCCACGGATAAGGCTGCATGAGTTTTGTCAGATGAATCTCTCTCCTTTTGTATTATTGGTTCAAACTCCTGTCTGTCTAGTATCTGGTTGGGTTAGTAAGCTAGGGCTGATGTTTTCTTTGTCCCTTTCTTCAACCATGTTTACTAAAAACCGTCCACGATTCATTATTTTTCTGAAATAGTAAAAGAAAACAAATAAACCATCTAAACAGCTCTAACTTAAAAACTGTTCAGTAAAAACACAACAAACTGTGTAGTTACCGGGATAAAAATAAAATATTATTAAGATGAGCAGACTCCAATCACCTCTGGCAAAAAAGTTCAATTTCATTTGTTTTCTAAAGAAATATACGAGTTTAAAAATGACTCAACAAAACAGGCTTAACTACAAATTCAAAAAATTTATAACAACATGATAACAATTCAAAATAAAAACAAAAACATTGCCTACCTTACTATCAACACTGGTTCAACTCAAAATGTAGCTTTTATTTACTCAGCACTAACCATAAAAACAGTAACAACTCGAAATAATGTTAAATAAAAACCTTTGTTTAACTCAAGAACAGGGAATCAACTCAAAATAACTCCGATTTGTCTACAACGGGCACGTGCGTTCCGCATAAAATACTGGTTACAACTAGCGATGTCCCTGTTTTAGTGGGGGAAAGCGTGGCTCGCTCGTTCAACAAAATGGGCTTTTAACATCATCTAGCGTTGAGTAATAGAACTATTTTTGAATCGGTTTTATTGGGTGCTTGGTAGTGAGTTATTTAATTCGATGGAAAGCGTAACTCAAAAAATGGGATTTTTGAATTAGCTCTCTTTAGATCTAGGTGTGCGATATCAAGGATTTGCTAAAACAGAGGTAGTAAATTGACCAGCGATGTCCCTTGAATTCTGTTCTATATAATACAATAAGCATATCCGCCAAATCCACGCCACCCATATTGGAATTGTACTCCTTTATCATTCGTGGACATGGTACTGGTATTTTCTTTTTCAGTATTTTGTTATACCGTGGTACTGTTTGGAGAGTAGATTTGAGTCTACGTATGTACTTGCAACAGTGACGCATTTGTTTTCGTACCACTTGGTAACAACAATCTTATTTTTGTTACACACAACCTGAGCATGTCAACCTCTCCCTTTCTTTTTTAAGTTTTTATCAGTAGGAAGTTTCTGTTGTGCTCCTCGAAGTCGATTGGATCTAACAGTTCCCAAAAAAAAAAAAAAAATACCGTATTCATTTCTCAGTCGGTGCACCAATTCAATTGAGGTGAAGAAGTTGTCAAAGCACAAGATTTTACATGCAGGCTGGCAAATGGATTTGGCTAGAGCTATGACGACTTTTGCACCTAAATCCCATACTTTCTTCTTCTTCAGTAAACGAAGTGAAGCGGAATGTATCTTCCCCTCCTTATACCAAAAAGTCATATACAATGCCCGAAACACCAGCGCGAACAAAAATTTTAAAGCCCCATTTCTTAGGTTTATTTTGTACATATTGCTTTCTGCTTCCTGCTCTAGTACCTTTGTAGGGCACTATCATCTCGTCTAGCTAAAAGTTCGTTCTTCTTCTATTTTTAGGCAATTCTCTCGAACCTTTTGCAAAAGTTATCTAATCTAATCTAATCTTGTAGTACTTGCAGGCGACGAGTATAGTTGCAAAGCTGGAGCATTGTGCGTTATTTCATCTATCTCTTTATTGCTATCCGATAATAGGTTAAGATCCAACAAAGACGACGGCAAAGATGGAGATGGAGAGCTACTATCTGAAAGAGTTGCAAGGATATACTTATCTAACTCTTCAGCTGAATCATCACTGCTACCTACGTCTTATCTAGCTCCAGATTTTGGAACTAGGGCGAGAATTCTGCGGGTTCCGTTTTGTTGTTAAAAGCTTTTGTTGTAAAATCTGGAAACAAACATTTATTGTCATACAGCTGATCTTAAATAAGTATGAGCATTAGTACCAAACCATACTTTATTATAATATATATATAATACAGTACTGTATAAGTGTTATGAAAATTATTATTTTTTTAAATTTATTTAAATGTGTTATTTAGGAATATAAAAAATCAACAATTATCTTTTTTTTTGCATAGACATTGCATAAGACAAAAAAAATTATTCTATCTCTCAAGTTGAACCAAACTACACACGATGTGAAAATTTGATTAAAATCGGTTAAGTAGTTTAGGAGTTCATCGAGGACAAACAACGTGACACGTAATTCATATAATATATTAAGATATTTATCCTCATACACATAATAGGGGGTTTTCCGTAATCTCACTCTTAGTAACCACGCGGCAAAAGCAAAGAAGTATCTATGTAAGTAAAAAAGGAAATTACAAAAGAAAGGGGAATAAATGATCATTAAAATAAAAGAACATAATGTGCTCTCTTAGACTTTTTACAGATTAAATATAAATCTAAATTATCAAATATACATAAATTGAAAAAAACTACATTCACAAAACTTTATTAATTAACCCCATCATGATGATAAAAAAACTAAAATTATATTTTGATGTTTAGTTATATTGTTTTCATGGCATTGTTTTCCATTATTTGTGTGATGTAAGCTCCAAAGTTTGATCGATTACTAACACATTAATTAAGTATTCATTGTAAGATATTAAAGTCTAATAAGCAAAATATTATTAAATAATATCGAATAATGTTGCTAATTCGGACTAAATAATAAGGCTTTATTACTACGTAAAAATGAGGTGTTAAATAAAATTGAGAATAAAATTCGAATTGTTTTTGGATTTGACGTTAGTGAATATATTTTATTAGGTGGTTCTAAAATGTCATCGATTCCTAAAGATTAGGAAAAAATAATAATTTCTCACGTAATATGTCATATTATATGTCTGCAAGTAGAATATGTTATGTGCTGAAGGAGTTTCCATTTGCATTTTCTCTAACTTCCATGATTTGCATATATGTGACAGTTGACAAAAAATATTGTAGTACGATACAGAAATATATGAATAAACATAATATAAAACCATTACTATTTTTTTGTTTCCATTTCTTTCTTACAATTTACTATGTATCTATGTTTAATTTTGTGAGTGTACAAGTAATGTAAATAATATTTGTAAGATAATTTGATCTGTAGGGTATAAGTGTTGATAACTTCACATTTTATTTGTGTGTGTTAGCTCGGACCAACAACGAAAGATGGACAAACCACTCACATTTCAAAGTGACGCCAAAACCGTGCTCGCCATATAAAATTGTTTTGGGTTCTTATGTGTACATCTAGTCTTGGACTCGTACGGACGAATAAAGAAAAAAGAAATGTGTGTATGATGTGCTTATCAAAAATTTGTATATGGTTTCGACGTTACATGAAAATGTACAATCTTTCTTTGTTATTCTGAGGTTGTGAGATATTTCGTTTTAATAGAACGACGTGATAACAACTTAAATAAAATTTAAATAAGTACTGTTAGTTTTCAAATGAAAACAATAAAAATTATAATACTTACTTTAGGTGCCTGTGAAAATGTAATTTATGTATTACTTATAATATAGTGACAGAATTATGTAAGATTATTAGGTGAAAGTAAATTAAAAGCACTAAGCTATTTTTTCTTAAAAAAGGTAAATGAAACATATCTATGAATAACGCAAACTGTTAGGCGTCTTATAATGCTGTTATAGTCACCGCATAATTTAGAGCTGAATTGAAATGTTCGATGTAGGTAATACCTAGCTTTGAAAACTATTCTCTTTTCTCTGTAAAGGCCAAAAATACTAGTAAAAAATCTAATGTAGTAAATAGAGAGTATTAAATATGGAACTAAATCGGTAACAGAAAAATATGGCGGACTGTGTGTAAGGTCAATTAAAGTTTATTACAAATAATCATTTAAGCATGATGGGATGTCAACTGGCAGATGATTGTAAATTATTTTATTTAGTTTGAAATGTTTGTAAGTCTTCTGATAAGCAAATTTTATGAAATAATATTTTATAAAAATGTCGCATTATATGTGACACAAAGCTTGTAGTGGGTAGGCACATATTGTTTTTATAATAAATTCCAGAGTGTAATATATGGAATATACATAAAGATTACACTACATTTACATTTGTATACTCCATACACATAACTACTGTGTATGGAGTAAAATATTTTAACAGGGTATTCCCATGCGTTTATATCCGTGACTTGTTTGACATGATATCAATATTATCATATATATATTTTTAATAAATTTTTATTTTAATGTTATTAAAATCAGTTGATAAAGCATCGATCACATTGTTTAATTTAATTTTACTAAACAACCTACTACATAATATGGTGACATTATATTGACTAAAGTTTTTACAATATTCTCACATGTGTAGTAAGTACATTTTATTGACATAGTTTTTTACTTTTTATTTTATTATAGGTTTTTTATCATCAAAATATTGTTATTCAGGTTTGCTTTACAATACACAAAACTGTCATATTATCTCTTAGATAACCGTGTCCGATACTTGATTTTACGATGACAGCTACATCTACCTACGTATGAATGGCTTAATAATTAGGCTCACGATTTAATGTAACTTTTTA